TTAGATCGATCATACTGGGTTTCAATAATAGATCGCGAATAGAATCCGCGATCCCGTTTAACGAATTAGTTACTAATATCAACGACGTTAACCACGAAACCGCGATTCAATTTGGTGCCGATCAGCCACTCGAATCTGCAGAACGACTCGCTTCTCTCGGGATTAGCGAACTCCTTGACGGCATAGCGCCCGTAGAAAATACTAATCTGACTGATCGCGCCCTTCAAGAGGCTTTTGCTTCCATAATAGTTGAAGAATATAATAATTTAATAAATAGCGAAACCTACGATCAACTAGCACTCGACCTGCTAGAGTTTGACATAATCCAAGAAGAAGTAGCTGCTGAACAGAACATAGAGGATACGCAACCTCCTCTTACCGATTTGGATATCGTAGACGAGTACATTCAAGAACAAAAATAATATTATGTAACACCTGCCTGTTACTCTTAATCACCGAGCTTAATCCATTTGTGACTAACCTCTCTATCGCTCTGGGGATATCTTGGGAAATAATTATAACCGTGAAATTAGATCTTTTATTTCCTTTTGCATAGGTGTCGGGATACTTCGCTCACCAAATTCACCGTAAGAATAAATCACCCTTCATAACCAACCATAGCCGAATAACTAGCTAACCCATTAACCTTCATCGGTAGATGGTAGACTCGACCGAGCCCAGACACGCTCACTGGTCTAGATCACTCGAGGTGGTCCGCCAACATAGGCTAATAGCAAACAGGGTGCTCCAACGATACGATTTCCTCGAGGAGCTCGCGAAGAGAGGAACCAACGGGGAATTTTCCTCAGAAGATTCGGGAAGTTCTTCTGCCTCGTCAGTCGCATCTCCGCCCCCTACACCGGAAACCCAGCCAAATTCTCCCCCGGTCGCAGAGGTTTCTGATAACGGAGACATTGAAATTGTAAAGATAATAACCAAGCAGGATAAAAACGATGACGTTCAAATACTAAAGATTATAAAGAAACCACCCTTAATTGACCTTACGTCATCCGATGAATATTCGTCAGTCTCCGAACCCGAACCCGTCGTGGACAAAATAATAGAAACAGCCGAATCATTTGACAGTCAAACAGCCTTTGACGACGAAAATCCATATTGGTTCCCCAGATCACCAGTATCAAGCGGGGAAGCCTTTGATTATTTTGCGCATTCCTCCGACGACGACGCCTTTGACTTTTAATTGTCGACTCTTCGTACCCTACACGTCGACTACTGTACCGCGACCGAGTAACGCATATATATTGTTCTATTCACTTATCTATAATATTTATCTTCGTTCAATTATTACACGTATTACTATTTCTGTACTCTTATATAATAACTTCGACGACTGTTAATACATTATACTCAACCGGTAAATATATAACGCCGTTTCAACCATTTACGCAGTCGCATCGTTATGCACATTGAGGTTACATAATCGACCCGCACTCTATTAATGTATCCCTCAAAAATGGAATAAATCAAGTTGTATTCCTTAATCCTTTATTCTCGTTATTGACAAGTCCTTGACTTCTACAACGGAGGAAAGATTTCAGCTCTCGGACTTCCCTGGGTTCCAACCCCTAAAAGAAACGAGAGCAACCGCTCTTTTCGCGACCGAGGTACGTGTAAAAGAAGGTCGATCGTCTTCCGGGACGTGACATTAATAATTTTTGGTGGCAGCGGTGGGATAGTCAA